AAAACTGGTAGAGGAAGATAAACAGATACTATTTCACAAGACCGATCACTTAGCAGGTGTCACAGCACATTCTTAATCTTTCCTCCATGCTACCACAATATTTAATTGACTATAGCTAAGTGTCCTTTGGTCTCTAGCAACTTCAACATTCAAGTCCAAACAGATTTTTAAGGCCCCCAAATCTAATAAACCAATCTCTTCCCCCCACTATGGCCCAGCGTCTCCTACCATACCTGCCTCTCTACCGTACCTGCCCCACTACCTTCCCTCTCACTCACTCTCCCACAGGAAGAAAAAACTCAATTAGGGGAATTTTGGGGGTCAGGGTAACAAAATATATTTAAGGTAAAAAATATTATCCTTGGTTTGTTTCATTTCAAAGCATTTCTGTTGGAAAAATACAGTTTTCAAAAGTACTGATTTTGCATTAACTACTAAATAAAAGACAGTCAACTAAATGACTTACCTTTCCCAAACAACAAATAGCACCCTAAAAATACAGTATTTTCAATGTCCACCCAATACTTTTAATTTCCATACAAGTAATAAGATTAGAGGCTCTATGCCCCATATTATACAGTGGTGTGCCTCGGAATCAAGGCAATATGTTGTCTTTGCGTGGTGACATGGCCCAAGTATCAACTAAGGAGAACAGCCTGAACTGCCAAATAGGTCAAGGTCTAATCTGACAAACACTTGGATAAATAATATATATATAACATACATCCTCCATCTCTATTCCAGCTTGGTCCTAACAGTGATTAAGATGAGGTCCAGCCCTAGCCAGGTAGCTCAGTTGGTTAGAGCAATGTCCCCATACTCCGATGTTGTGGGTCTGATCCCCAATGACAACACATACAAACATATAATAATCAACCAGCGAATGCATAAATAAGTGGAACAACAAATCAATGTTTTTCTTTCTCCCTCTCCCTCTCGCTCTCTCTACCCCCTTTACTCTCTAAAATCAATAAAAATAAAAATAATCTTTAAAAAAATGTTTTTAAAGATAAAGTCCAAAAGACCAGCTATGACAAAGCTACCCAATCAGCACACTGGTATTTTTCCCCAAACCACTCTTAATTATACCAAACCAACCAAGAGAAGTGGGCTGTGCTTCCCTAAGTTGGTTATATTAAGTGCTCAGGGAATCCTGAAAAACCCCACTGATTTAAAATTTCTAGTCTATATTTAAGTCCCTATTTGATTCTAGGTGCTTAAACGTTACTAGGCAAGATACACTTTTTAAGCAGCTGGATCCAGAACCAGTAAGGACATTTGGAGTTATTTCCTTAGGCTCCCATTTGTAACACAGAGAAATGATTACCCATGACAAAGCTTTCAGAAAGTTGTGTGGGGCAAAAGAGGCAACTTTTAAAAAGCAATACAATAGCCCTGGTTGGTGTGGCTCCGTGGATTGAGTGTGGGCCTGCAAACCAGCGAACCAAAGGGTCGCCGGTTCAATTCCCTGTCACTGCACATGCTTGGGTTGCAGGCCAGGTCCTCAGTAGAAGGATGCATGAGAGGCAACCACACAGCCATGTTTCTCTCCTTCTCTTTCTCCCTCCCTTGCCCTCTGTCTAAAGGTAAAATAAAATATATTTTTTTAAAAATTTTTTTAAAGAAATACAATATATTGATAGATTTCTCTATTTTAACAAAATTCTAGTAGTTTGTCTAGAAGTAATTTACAAGTTAAACATACCACGTTAGAAGACTCAACTTCAGACACCAGGAAAATTCAGATAGCTGCAAACCCAGAAATTTTACATGAACTTTTCTTTTGGCAGCAACAATATAACCATACAGCAAGTCATTTTGTGTTCTCTAATAGTTAAGAAGGAAGAATAACTCTAGAGGTATTTTAAATATGGAGAACTTCAAAGTTCCTTAAAACGAACACCCTTAAATCTAAATATTGCCGTCTCCAAATGCAAATGTAAATAAAGTTGGAATGGAAATGACATTTTTTTATGCCTTGAAATTCTAACCTACACTATCAGCACCTTTAATGAACTGCGGCATTGAGAACAGCATATTGAGAAAGTTAACTCCCCTTACCTTGCAAAATAAAGTTAACTTCAAAAGTTACCAGAATAAGCCCTGACAGGCGTGGCCCAGTGGGTTGGGCATCGTCCTGCAAACTGAAAGGTCACCTGCTGGATTCCAGGTCAGGGCATATGCCTGGGTTGTGGGCCAGGTCCCCGGTTGGGAGAGCGCAAGAGGCAACTTATCGATGTCTCTCTGGCACAAGGATATTTCTCTCCCTCTCTTCCCCCCTCCCATCCCCTCTCTCTAAAAATAAATTAATAAATAAAATATTTTTTAACAGTTACCAGAATAAGTCATTCTGACATCCAATGGAAAATAACATGCAAACAAGTATTCCATTCAATGTATGAGAAACACTATTTTAGCATTCTGAAATATACATTTGCCCTGTACTCCCTTCCATATATATACATGTATACCTTTAATGTTCATGTATCAAACATTAAAAATGCAAGCTCAATAAAGAAGTTCATTTGACAACTGTTGCTATTTTAAGTTGCAAGGGGGCTTTCAATACCTTGCAGTAAACAAATATTTACATGTAGTGCCATGCTAGCTATAGCAACCTACCTCTGTAATTTGCACCTTACTTTATGGTATCCCATGACAGAACATCCAAAAAATTAAAATAGTATGATCTGAAGCTTCTTTTCAAGCATGTTTACAAGAAGAATTATCTCATAAAAACCATCCACTTTTATGTGACTCTAAAACTCCATGCCCAGAAGCCAATGACTGGTTTACAAGCAAGATAATGAGTAGTTCAATGGAAAAGGTATTATGACAATAAACTAAGACTGGCTCACCATGTTATGATCTGCTTGCCTAATATGTATGTTTAGCTACTACAGTCAGCAATGTCCAAATATAAATTTGAAACATTTAATGGCTGGTTCTGTTCTAGATTTCAAGCTCCTCTTGCCTTTTTAAAACATGGTTTTAATCTAAGAATTTTTTTTGAAAATATTTCCCCTAGAGTAGAAAAAAATTAACAACTTGTTCAATTTTCCCATAATGACCAAAAAAAAGAAATGTCCAAATCTCAACTATTTCAATGCATTTCTACTTTAACCAATTAAAAACAAAGTTTCAAAAATAAAAGAAAAATAATCCTCAACAAGATTAAACATTATATTCCATAAATAATAGCTCCCGACACTTTATAAAAGCACCCATAAATATGCCAAGAAATGCCTTGTTGATTTAAAAGTAAAGAATCTTACTTGGTTAGTTACATTTCAATTACTGACAAGTGGCATGAAGGCATACAGTAACAAATAAAACTATAATAATTATTTTTGTAAAAAGCTAAGTCATATTTTATTTATTTTATTTATTTAAATACTGTTTAATCATGACCTATCAAAACCTTACCACGGCTCATTGTATAAAATTAGCACTGCGCTTGCAAACATAAGCAGAAACTAGACTTATCAAACATATGGTGAGGCTTGCCAAGCTTCTGAAAAATTAAACGAGAACGCAGGATTGAAATGTTTTATTTGGGAACAAATAAAACCCAACAATCCTCCTCAAAAGTTTTTTATCAAAAACTTGATCAGAAGGGGAATCTCTTAAAATTTTAAATGCCCAGCAATTAAAACTTTGAAACAAACTGGAATAGTTTGAATATTAATTCCACTTCAGAAGCTACAGATAACAAGCAAATATCGCCCCCCCCCAAAAAAAAAAATAAAAAGAATTCAGTCGCTCTCCAAACTACTAGAAGATACACACACATAAGCACAAGCACAGACTGGTTTACCAGCTTCCTCTCCCGGCTTTTACCAGAGAGATATGAAAGTTGACAATAGAATTAACCATAACATTTCCCTGTAAACTGGACGATAATCTGAAAAACTCCACTGTTGCTAATAGAAGCTCTTTATAATTAGAAGCAGCAAACTGACAGGTGGAAAAATAAATTCTAACCAGGGCAGCAAGAGGTTGTGAAAACACGGTTCAAGGACTGAACGTGTTATGACTACTTTGTAACAGGTCCAAGGTAATTTACACACACACACACAAACACACACACACACACACACACACACACACACACACGCCCCCACCCCACCCCCCTTCAGAGCAATTACTCAAACAGAAATAAGACTGGGAAACAGGGTTCTTTGACGGCAACGTACCATTTTAAAACAGCTTTCTCCCTCCCGACGGGAAAACAGACATTCTCATCCCAGGTCCTTCCACGAGTTCTCCCAGCGCAGCGAAGGGAAGCCGGCGGCCGCCACCGTAACGAGAGATGCCGGCAACAGCCCCGCCGCGCGGCCGCCACGCCTTCCTCGGGCCAAGACAGGGGACGCGGAGCGGTGGATCACATTTCTCCTCCCCAACAATCACACGCACTCACGTCCCTAGAGCTGACACCCTCCAAACCCGCCACTCGGCGACGCCGGTGACTGGGCCACAAAGCCAGGGACGCAGCCATCGGCTAGGGCGCTCTAGTTGCGTGCCTGCGTGTGTGTTTGTGTTTGTTCCCCTTAATGAAAGACAAGAGGTATCCGTAGTGACGGCCTACGGCTGAGATGGGGGAAGAGGCACCCTGTGAGACTAAACAAAACTTCGGTTGCTGGGAAAAGCCGTTGCGCAACCTTGGCAAGGGAAGGCTCGGCCCAAGAGCGAATTCCCGGAGGCTGCGCCACCGCGCGCAGAAACCGCGCGCAAGAACCACGCGCGGCCCCGCGTCCAGCGGCCTCGGGCCCGGGGCCGCACCAGCCTTTAAGGAGACGCCTGGACCCGCCACCCGGCGGGGGCCAGCGCGGAAACGTGCAGCGCAAGGGCGCAAAGAGATGGGGCTGGAAAACTCGCGTCGAGTACGCAACACCCCAGGAGTGTCGGGCGCGGTGGGGATCCCGATGAGGGGCGCCCTAGCTCCGGCGCTGGCCCCTTGAATGAGCTAGTTGCCCCCACCCTTTGCCCTGCTCCCTTACCTTCCTAGAGGCCTGTGCTCTCCCCTCTTCGGGCGGCCGCAGCCCTGAGCATGTCCGGGGTGGGGTGCGGGGCCGTGCCGAGGACAGGGAGCCAGGCGCTTCAGCAGGCGGCACCACCCAGCCCGGGCTCAGCCCCTCTCCGCGGCCGCTGCCATCTTGTCCTGGCGGCTGAGAGGAAACGGCGAAACACCCTCCCCCGACCGCTGCTGCTGCTGCTGCTGCTGCTGCTCTGGCTGCTGAGTGCCGGGCCCGTCTCCCTCATCTTCTTCCCGGGGATTTGGGGTGGGGACGGCTTGGCTGGGTTAGGTTGGGGTGAGGAGTGATGAGAGGCCGGCCGGCCAGCCTCCCACTGCTGGGGCCTACGGGATCCGCGGGGTGTAGGGCCCGCGGCAGTTGGGGCCCATTCCTGACGCCCCTGATGAGAGAGGAGGGGAAGGAAAACCGCCGGGAGAGGCGAAGACGAAGGGGCCTAACGCTTGGTCTCTTCAGGTCTCCGCGCTGCCGGCAGTCGTCACTGAGGCAGCTGCCGCCAGCCGCCCCAGTCTCGGGCCCCTCCTCCGCGCCCGCCAGCCTCAGCCGCCGCCTCCGCAGCGCCACCGCCTGCCGCCGGGCCGTGCTGCGCGCCGAGCCGGGCGGCCCCGCTCGGCTCGGGCCGCGGCGCCTCGGTGAAGCCCCTCCCCAGGCCCGCCCGCCCGCCTGCCCGCTCGGTCGCCCGCAGCCGCACCCTAGTAGCTCGGAGCCCGCCTGGCGGCCGGCGTGGATCCGACCCGGGCGCTCTCTGGCACCACCCCTCCCGCGAAAGAAGCATTTGCCAGCGCCCCTTCTGCTGTTCCGAACCTCGCTTTCCCTAGGCCCACTCTGCCAAAAATATGTATTTTTAAAAAGATCCTAACCGCCAAAGGATGAAAATGCGAGAGCTGGACTTTGGCAAGCCTTTCAAGATCCTGTAATCATGGTTTCCCCTTCCACTCCTTTAGGATCTGGTTTTTTGGCGTTTTTTTTTTAAGGTCCAAAAATAAGGAAAGGGGAAATGCTTAGTCAAGTGAACGATCCCAATCTAACATAGGTCCTTCCCGCTTCCCCATCCCAGAGGGTCAAGAGAATTGTAAAGTCAGGTTAAAGAACGGGGGAAAGGCCCTCTTGGAAGTTCTCCAAGAGAGTCTCTAGGATCCAGAGACCAGTAAATGTGAAGGTAACCCGTCTCTGCATGGATGATTCTCCATCACGCTGTCAATTCCACTACCAAAGATTAGTTACCTCCTTCGCGGAGACAGGGAAATCAACAGAACGGCCCGTCTCAAACAGCATAATCATAGAACGATAGAATTTTAGAGATGAGAGAAAATATAGGGATCTTTGATCCAAACTCTCCAGTTAGGGCAGGAGTTCAAAGAAGTTTACGTGACCTGCCCAAGGTTATACAGCGAAGCCTTGATCTGTACTTTCTTCCCTTTTCCGTAGGAGACGACTTAAGTACCTTTCATCCTGAGGGTTTTTGTTCTTTGTGGGGTTTTTTGGTTCTTTTTAAATACTGTTTCCTTTGGTTCTCAATTAATGTTTAACTTTTGGGGACTGAACACCTTTCTCTGAGCAATGCAAATGCCCTTTGTTCCCTTCATAATCTTCACTGGGAGGATCGAATCTACCACATACCTATTTATGCCCAGATATTTTCTATTGCAGTAACTGGGGTAGGGCAAAAGGAGTGGCGAATTGCTGCATATTTAATACCAAACATTTACTCTCTGCTGCTTTTCAAACTGGGAGAAGAGTATTTTGGAAGATGCCTTTAAAAGAGAAAAGTATGCAGTTGGAAATCAGAAAAGGAGACAGCTGTAAATAAAGTTTTCAAATGGCAGCTGTTTTCTTCAAGTTAGGGAGGATAACCAGTTGAAAGGTCTTTGGAAACAAAAAAAATCAGTGTCTCTCAGAAAGATAGCAGCATGTTAGCCATTCCTTTTTACTTAGTATTATTTACTTTTGACTTTTTTAAAACAATAGTGAAAAGAATTTTTTTAAAAAGGATGAAAACATTCCTCAAAAGGGGAGTTAGTAGAAAATAAGTTAAGCATGAAAAATATTCCACTAGAACTTCAAATTTTCAGAATTTTTGCAAAATATTTCTCTAGATCACCTCTAACTGAATGCTTCTATTCTCCTGTTTCATGGCATTGCTACATCTATGAAGAAGTTGAATATGGGAAGGTTCATTTCCCCCTTTCTGTCCCTGACATTGGTACTAGAGACACAAGACATGTAAATTCCAGCAAAGGTTTTTGTCATCATTTTTTTAACCATTGCATTGCCAGTGGTTAATACTGTGAAGGATTTATAGTTGTCTTTAGTAAATGTTGCTAAATAAGTAAACACTATTAATTCAAGTCATCCTCTTTACCTATTGTCTCTTAACTTAATCTCTTTATTTCCTATCTCTTTCCTCTTTAATCCACTCTGAATACCTACATCCAGAAACTTTTTCAAAGCCCCTAATAGAGCCATTTTATGAAGTTTGTTTTAAAAAAAATTATTGGCATACTCCCTCCCAGGAGCACGCTGGCGTCTTTCCCCACGCCCTCTTCTTCCCCCCAGGTACCTTACCTATACCTTCATCCCTAGTTCCAAGGGCTCTTCTTTACCTCTGTAACTTTCTAAATAAACTTTCCCTTATACTGTGGGGGGAAAAAAAGGAAGATTTTTTTCATAGTCTTAAGCTCTTTTTTAAAATGCAAAATGCAAAAGCCATGTAGAAAAATAAAAGGCCATAGAGAGTAGAAATTTTGAGAAACTGAAAAGACAGTTTTTAGTCAGAGTGAGGGTAAATCAAAGGAGATAAAGGTAGAGGGAGAAACAAAGGTCAGACTGGGATTTAGGAATTTATTCTACCAGCAAAAGAAGGTATATTGAAGGATTTAAGAGGGCACAATATGATCAAGGAAGCCATTGGCTTTGAGTGCAGGAACTGAAAGGATAAAGTCAGCCCCATTTGCTATTGTGGCACCATTTGCCTAGCAGGCCTATGACCTTGTCAAACAAAACATGACTGCCATTTTACTCTTCTGAGCTTATGTCCCCAGGACTGGAAATTATTTGAAAAAACTAACCACTCCCTACAGCCACAGGCAGAAGATAACGTTAGTACAAACTGCAGCCTCCTGTTACAACAGCCCCAACAGCCCAGGGGCCAACAACAGTAAACCCCCCACCCCCGCCCTTGTTAATTCGATTGTACTCCAATAAAAACTCAAAGCCCTGACCCCTCAATGCTGGTGTATCTCTCTATACCATACCCCTCTCCTTTCTTGGAAAGCAACTAAAAGCTTTATTCTCTACGCTTTCATCTCTTTGTGAATTCTTTCACAGCCCACATCACCAACCACCCTAACAGGATCCATCCATTTGTCACACTTTTGTATTTTTAAAAATTTCCTTTCAGTCCAGGAAGCTCAGAGTCTCAAACAAGTTGGACCCAAAGAGGACCACACCAAGTCACATCATAATTAAATTGCCCAAGATTAAAGATAAGAGAGAATCTTAAAAGCAGCAAGAGAATAGAGTTACCTACAAAGGAGTTATCATTAGACTATCAGCTGATTTCTCAAAAGAAACCTTGAAGGCAAGAAGCGGCTGGCAAGAAGTATTCAGTCATGAAAGGCAAGGACCTACATCCAAGATGACTCTATCCAGCAAAGCTATCATTTAGAATGGAAGGGCAGATAAAGTGCTTCCCAGAGAAGGTGAAGTTAAAGGAGTTCATCATCACCAAGCCCTTATTATATGAAATGTTAAAGTGACTGATATAAGAAAAAGATCAAAACTATGAGCAGTAAAGTGACAACAAACTCACAAGTATCAACTGAACCTAAAGAAAAACATACACAAAAACAAATTACGCAAATAACTAGAACAGGAACAGAATCACAGAAATGGAGATCACGTGGAGGGATATGGGGGGGCAGGGGAAAGGGAGAAAATGTAGGAAAAGGTACAGGGAACAAGAAGCATAATTTGTAGGTATACAATATATGTGGAAGGTTCAGAACAATATAGGATATGGAGAAACCAAAGAACTTACATGTAGGACCCGTGGACTTAAACTAACGGCGGGGGGAGGATGCTCAATGGAATGGGAGTAGCAGGGGGAGGGGGGAAAGGGGGAAAAAATTGGGAAAACTGAAATAACATAATCAATAAAATATACTTTAAAAAAATTTTCCTTTCAGTAACTTCCAGTCTCATTCAGAGTAAAAGCAGAAAGGTTTACAATGGACTTACAAGAGTCTATGAGACGATAAACAGAACTGGTTCAAAAGGAATGCACCTACTCTTTGTCTCCTTGTTCTACACCTTTCCTTAGACTCCATTCAGTCTCCAACCTCAGGTTCCTAGGTCACCCTCTGTGACAGGAACCCACCTAAGTATCCACCTACCTCCATTTCAGGTCCTTACTCAAATGTTACCTACTCCGTGAAGATTTCCTCAGCAATAACCACCTATGCATACACATAAACTCCTTATTTTTTATTTTATTTTTATTCTTAGGGCATCTAAGGTACTATGACCTAGATTTTCTGTACCTCTGTCCCCCAGGAAGTAAGGTCTCTAAGGACAGAATTTTGTCTGTTTTGTTGGTTGTGCTATCCACAGAGCCTAAGTCACTGACTAGCATAAAAAGGAACTCAATAAATATTTGTAAAATGAAAGAATGAATTTTCTTTAAAAGATTTTATTTATTTATTTTCAGAGAGAGGGGAAGGGATGGAGAAAAAGAAGGAGAGAAACACTGATGTGCTAGAGAAACATCAATTGGTTGTCTGTTGCATGCCTCCACCTGGGGACGTAGCCCACAATCCAGGCATGTGTTCTGACTGGTCAATCTTTCAATTTGCAGGATGACACTCAATCCACTGAAGCCACACCAGACAGGGAAAGAATGAATTTTCTATATAAACAGCAGGAAACCCTCCAAAAGCTCAGGCTTTGATAAGTAGCAATAGTTGACTGTCCAGAAGATCCATGACACCTCTCTCTCTCTCTCTCTCTCTTTCCCCAACTTCCACACCCAAAAATTACTGTGTCCCAAGGCCAGTCCACCTCACACCCATCTTGAGTTCATCACTTCCATTGTTCCTTATTGTACCACATATAGGTGTCAATATAGAGAGATGACCCTCTACAGCCTTAGCAGATAATGCTGATGCTTCTCCAAAGAAAAATGTTAGAATTTTGTCACAGAGCCTGAATCTGACCCCAGGCTCACTTTCCTCAAGGAATTTGGAAGCTTCTTGTTGTTTTTGTTCTCCAATCCCTAGGTATCCTTACCTACAATTGGGGGCTACGGGAAAGGATCTAGTCAATCAAAAAGAGCTTCCTAACTACAAACCTCCAGCAGGAGAAGATCAGCAGGGGGCTTCTGGTTCCTTCATCCCAGGAGGTCCTGACTTCCTTGTGAAAATAATAACTTACTTTCTCCCTAGAGATCAGCTTTGTGTACCTGGGTCTAAGGGAGGAGCAGCTAAAATCCATCAGAAAAAAAAAAAGTTCAGGAGTGACCTATATTTGCATAACTGAAAGTCCCACTCAAGTAACTCTTTG